ATCTCAAATGTTGCAGCTGGGGTTGGGGGGTAAATCAAAACAGTCCACTGAGTGATTTCTCTGCTGGCTATTTTCTCACAGTTGGTTGCACAGGAGACACTGTAAATGAGACAATGTTTGGTGAAGAAAACTGTCCACGAAACAAATGTTTCGCACGTTTAAAACCTCCAGTTCGATTGGTGACAGATAAGCACTTCACGGAATACGGTTGGTGCAAAGTTTAGTTTGCTATCTGGTGTGTTCTTAATTAGGTTTAAAAGTAGTAGGAAGAGGAATAGAGTTAGCTCACATTGTTCCTGGGGATTCCCATTTACTTCGCCCGCGCGTATCGATGACCTTCGAACTGACCAATCCTACGTGAGTCTTAATGGGTGTTTTTATTGGTTCACGCTTTAGCCTATTCACACAATACTCACTCGCATGGATGGTGCATTCCAACATCATATTTTAGATGTACCTCGAATTTCCTTTTTCGAATTTTTCGTTTCACAACAATTTTTATAATGGCATACGTTAGGAAGAGGTCAAGCGAACACGTCATTTCTCTTCCAGGGGCATAGTGTATACATGGGAACCAAAAACAACTGAGTGTCGGGTTTGAAGACCACCCTAGGCAACCTTCGTCCTTTAATCACGGGATTTCAGACTAGCTGGTCGTTTGTTAATGTTGCCTCAACTAAAGACTTCTCCGGTGGAAGTTGTGAAATAATTCCTCTAGTCAGCCCCCCAGGTTTCCAGTTGAAGAATAAACGAGACATTCACTTGAGTCACCCGTGAAAGCCAAACTGATTTGAAAAGGAGTGTATTTCTGGTTTGATCTTACATACTTATTTCGCTAGTGTATACAGTCCCTTTGTATACCGAAGCAATGGTCCTCCGATAATGCAAGCACTGCATTTAACCATCGGAGGTTTATCAGTGGAAGCGATGCGCATGTAGCTAGATAGCGCAAAACGGGTCGTTTTTCTGTGTTGCCAAGGCGCTCCGGTTTTCACCTGGAAGGTTTCCCCACGAATGTGTCTCTCATAACAGGTTGGCCACTGGTTCAAAGTCTGACCAACACAGTTTGCAGGCCATTCAGATTGGGGTGGGGGGAACACGCTTGGCGAGTTCTTCTATAAAAATCGTAATGCACCGTAATACGATATTGTGAGAATTAAGCTTCGTACCTATATCGGTATAACCAGACGAACTAGAAATCCAGAATTCAGCGAAGCGTAACAACCAGCACGTATGTATTCGAATTGGCGAATATGTACAGCATATGGAATATTAAAACAAGAGAATAATGAATAGAGCAATGAATATAATGTCAGTCATGTTCATCACATCCGCCACACCTTGAATTAGAGTGTGGATGTTTATAGTCCAGTGGTGGTCTTGACCGCAATCTTTTGGATCTTCTCGGAATACAAATTTCAGACTCTTTACAGGTACAAGATACAACGTTGTGTTCGGATACCAGAAGATCATCTACAAAGGATTCATTAGTATTGGAAATACCAGGAGTGCCGTTAACGGACTGAACTCTGGTATCGAACTTAACCTGGTCATTGTGTCTCCGGTGACAGAGAGATGATCGAAGTCGAGAATTGTGACTATCCGTTTGCCATTTGATGAAGGTACTATTCCTGTAGCAGGTCGTAAATCATTACCCCTGAAAAATGTAACATCAGCCGTTTTGGCACAGTC